GCCACGGGGGAAGCGGCGGTATACCTCACGCAGCGAAGGCACGGGGGAAGCGGCGGTATACCTCACGCAGCGAAGGCACGGGGGAAGCGGCGGTATACCTCACACAGCAAAGCACCTGCAGTTTCTCTCGACTCTCCCGTCACGCCTTGTCTCTTGGCTTCATACAGCACCATCAGCTGGCAGTAAGCGTCCTCACAGTCCTCACTGTCAGTCACAGGGAGAATAATCGATGTACTCGATACGCATGCATCACACATAGAATGACAGTGAACCAGTCACCCTCAAGGGACTGGAAATCAGTTCATGGTGTAATCCAGCACTAAGCCACGGGGACAAAGGCTCTCCCAGTAACACACCTATACTTCAGGGCCATTTGCAAGGCAGTGTGGTCGGCTTCGTGTTTGCTGAGAATCATGCTCATCTGCTCGGACTCGCCCTTCCTCCTCTCCAGTGCAGCCGACAGGCGTTTGTTCCGCGCCTTGAGCCTTTCTACACACCTACAGGAAGGGGCATCAAAGCATTGCTGATGTTAAATCACTTTCGGTGCAACTGGAGGGAGAGGCAAGTACCCCATGGTCTGACCTCTGCAGGCGGTCCATGTCAATCCCACCACTGGGGCTGCAGTGTGCACTGGCAGAAGGAGCACTGCCCCCTGTTGACAGGGCAGGGAAAGCGCTGGGAGACCTCTTCGACATCTGAGGTGACCCAGGGTAAGGAGGGGTCGCCCAGTAGGGACTCCAGGCGTCACTTGATGAACTGGAAGGACTTGTGGGAGGGGACACACTGCCCCCAACTGGAAGAGTTATTTGGAGGGACAGGATCTGCAAGACATTGACAGGAGGTGACGACAGTGACAGTAGGCGGAGTTTCAGTGAAGCTGGCAGAAATACTCACTATTTTAGTTTAGTGCCTAAAATTAGTAGGAAGTGACAGTAGAGAAGGCTTATTGCACGTATCAGTTACATGCCTGGGGCAATGAGTAAAATTCCCACTCAGCATAATAAAGGTGAACTTTATTGAAAAATGCCCAAGAAAACTAGGAAGGTGTTTTTTCCACCCATGTTATCTCCAGCATTGGATACAGAGTGTTGTTGTCTGATGTTGCACCATTTCCTTAAGTAGACACTAAACACAGTGATTTTATATGCTGACCTGTTAGTCACCAGTAAACAAATGAATGTAAATGCAGATGCACAAATGCAAAGCTGCGAGATGAGATTAGCTGTGTCTATATTACACCTGCGTCACGGAGACAGATGATGAGACGCATGTCAGTGTGTATGCAGCATTACGACAGCGGCACACGCCACCACTACAAACCTTCATCTGCAGCCTGTTCCTCTCCTCCTCCAGCCCACTCAGTGTGACCTTTGACCTGTCTAGCTCCTCCTCCCGGCTGTGCAGAGCAGCGCGTAGGCTGCAGTTGCGCTTGTATAAAGTGAGGACATTTTTCTGGTATTTCTGATGCTCTTCGGCTGGTAATTCCGAAGAGGACGAGATTCCGAATTCTCTCTCCATCTCATCTAGGACCTGAGCCAGATGAAATGATTGATAAGACCTCATCATTTTGAGCAGAATTCCAGTGAGGAGAGTAGAGTGTCTCATGCAGCCATACCTGCGTGACCTTGACCCAGCTCTCGGTTGCTGCAGTCAAGTGTTCTGTGGGACTCTCCTTATTGCAGGAAATATGAGGAGTGACCCAAGCTCTCCCTTGTCTGACGGAACTTTCTAGAGCATCTAAGGCTCCCTGCAGCTGCAGTTCAACACTTTCTTCTAAAGAACATCATTTGAACAGAGAAAATTATGAAATGTGTGCACAACAGTTTGCCACCAGAACATTTTATTGACTCAGTGTGATACAGCAAGAGGCTAAAGTGCTAAAAGAATATGATGAATCACACTTTTCTTTATTCTGACGACCAATCTTTTAGCTTGCTTTATAGGCAACTGTAACACTGAAATTATACAATATGATGTGTAAATACAGGTATGCATAAACCATGTACAATGCAAATACATGCCCACCTTTTTGAGTGACTGAACCATTAGGTGAGGTGGTAGATACATGCTCGTCCATTGGGATAGAGGCAGGCACTGCTTTGGGATCAGTGGTCATCACTTGCTCTTGTAGGTTACTCTTGTCTAGACACCTATAGCACAAGATTCTGATATTATCCGGGTCGCCAACTTTGCACACACATTTACCTTGTAAATAGTCTGTAGGGTTTGCAAACTACCCCAAAACTTTTGATGAAGCTAATTTTAGGCTTATAGAGGAATAACATAGATTTGCCGTAAGATTGCTTGCTTGAGCGTGAGTAAGAAAGTGCGTCACGCCAGATGCGTGAGAGTCAGAAAGCGAGTCACGCCAGATGCGTGAGAGTCAGAAAGCGAGTCACGTCAGATGCGTGAGAGTCGGCAGCCCTGCATTAGGCATGCTGTCGTGTCACGCCAGATGCGTGAGAGTCAGAAAGCGAGTCACGCCACATGCGTGAGTCGGCAGCCCTGCATTAGGCATGCTGTCGTGTCACGCCAGATGCGTGAGAGTCAGAAAGCGAGTCACGCCAGATGCGTGAGAGTCGGCAGCCCTGTATTAGGCATGCTGTCGTGTCACGCCAGATGCGTGAGAGTCAGAAAGCGAGTCACGTCAGATGCGTGAGAGTCGGCATGCTTTCAAGTCTAGTCCCAGGGATCCTTTTCAGCTTTACCTTCATGCAGGTGTGATACAGAATAGGCACAATGTGAATGTCCGTTCTTTTTATGATGCATCATACCTGGGTGCTTGTAGCCCAGTCATTTTCTCATTCAGCTCTGCTATGATTCTCAGCAACGTCCCCATGTCTGCTTCACACTGGGCCAGTTCTAACTGGGAAGGATGTCCTGGGGTTTTGGGGTCCTCCTCACATTTTAAGGCTTCCACCAACTGATCAAGTACCTGGGTCCCAGAATCCCGAGAAGAATGTAATGTGCAAGGAGCACAAGATGTTATTGACTTATGCTATGTATTTATAAATGAGTTTGGAAGATCGTGCTTTAAAACAGCATTGTTATTACAATGTATGTCGGATAGCATGTTTATCAGGAAGTCATCATCTAGCAGTTGGCCATAAACACTTTAACAGACTGCTTGGATTGCGTGGTCTGATTGGCATTTTTTTAATAGTCTTTGTTTTGAGAAGAGGAAAGGGAGGAAACTGTAACATCCTGCAATCCCACTTCCTCTTAGCATAACAACGTTGGGAGCAGCGGAGGATGGGAGAAGGGTTACTAAAGGTCACTTAGTGAAGATCCTGATACCATCTCACAATCAGCTGTCCCACACGCACAGGATTTTAACCCGTTACCTCAGTTGTCAATAGTTGTGGTAAAATAATCTTCATATGATGAAAATGTCTATTAGATCAATCTATTTAAAGCTTTGTGAATTTGTAAATACTAAAGAGTCCTTCTTGCGTAGTGCCTTCAAGATCATAGTCAAAGTGACATTCCAACAAGTATATTTTATTTCAATATAATTAACATCGTTTTCTGTTCGGAGGCAGAGAGTTTGCTGTACCGCAACATTACAGCGTGTTATTTTATCATTTCAACACATGATGTGCTACTATTTGTTGACATTTGGCATGTCCCTTAAGATAGAAAGTCTGTGTATCTCACCTTTGCATCTTCAGCTCTGTCAGTCATGTTTCCCGCTGTGTCTTGGCTGTCTCTCTCCTTGAAGACTTTCCTTGAGCCCCTCAACAATTCTTGCTTGACTGTTGTGTTCCTTACTCTGGTTGCTTGTGGCTGACAGTCCAATGTTCATAGCTCTGCTCCCATGTCCCTCCACTCAGAGCGCCTTCCTGTCTGCGTTGTTGGTGAACTCTCAGTTTCGTCTGCTCGTCGCTGGCACAGGAAAGCTTTTTGGGATTTGAAAACATTGTGATGATAGCCACACCCATTGTCCATGTGCAGTTTCCTTGCTCAACACTGGCCAACTATGTGTTGGCTGCATTCTAGTGTAAAAGTACATGCATTGAAATTTCCATGAATAATAAGATACATACACACCTGTGTGTAAAAAGCTTTGTTTGTGAAAGTATGACAATGTTAAATTAATCAATAAGAATTGAATACCTTAATACTGTGTGTTGAATAAAGTGATTAATAAGGTATATCCAGTTTAGTTTACTTTTTTAATTCTATGTGGAATTACTGTATAATACCTTTTGACATTCACAGTGCACAACATCACATATGGAACTATATAATACACGTGAACATACAAATACCTGGAGCGGTTTTCGTAAAGAACTACAACTACCAGAGTGATGGCACTTCCGGCTCGTGGCCGGTTTTCCGGGTAAGAAGATGGCTTCATACATAAAGTAGTTAGCTAGCTGGATGTTTTTGTTTTATCAAAGTGTCTGAATCGTCGGCGACGTCGTTTAACGCGGTTTTTAAAATATTGACTGGTCATGTAGGAAATGTTTTTGAAGTGGCACAGTTGTTATTAATATTGCTCAGTATTTCGGGTGTCGCTGGTTAAACAGCTCTTTACATTCACAGTGTGGTTTTTCTTCCGCATTAATGTCAGTCATTAGATTGGTGGTTTAGCTTACGTTTAAATATTAATGATAATGTTGTTAGGTACTATAACTGGTAATCGGAGCTTTCATTACTAACGGACGAAGGAACGGAGACGAAGCGTCGTAGCGTCTTTAGGAGCAGCCCAAAGTGCAGGGTGTCAGATTCGCCTGTATTGCAGCCATTTCGGGTGACATGGAAACGTCGGAGCCAGGCCAGGCCGACGGAGAGGAGCGACCGGCGGAGCCGAGGCCGCGGACACGCTCCAACCCGGAGGGGGCCGAGGACCGCAGCATTAGTAGCAGCAGCGCCCCGCAGCCTGCCGTGGGCAGCCGCAGTGAGGGCGAAGGGGAGGCCTCCAGCAGTGACAGCCCTCCCAGCTCCACCACCGCCACCTCCGCAGCCCCCGCGGCTGTCGCCCCTGCCATCTGCACCGTTGCCCCCGCTGCCTCCACTGTGAAGGACAGGCCGAAGCCTGCGCAAGCGTCCCCGGCGCCCCCTCTGCCCCCGGTCGCGGACGTGCAACTGAGAGCGCCGCGAGTCAACTGCCCGGAGAAAGTGGTACAGTGTGCGCCGTGATTAAGGGGCAGGAGTAGGGTTGCAAAGGGATGGAAAATTTCCAGAAACTTTGCAGAATATTTCCATTCCATGGGAAGATAAGCTGGGGAATTTTGGAAATACTACAAATTGGAAACTTTCCATGGGAATATATGAGAATTAACAGGAAAATTTCCAGAATTTTGCAACCTTAGGCAGGAGTGGCTTGGTTGTAATCTCACGCGTTGGACTAAGGACAGATTTACCAAGGCTCCAAATAAATAACATTTGGGTCAGGGTGGCCAACTTTGGCTAGGTGGCTGGAGTGAGATTTTCAATTCGAGACAAGTCTGCACACATTTACATGTATGTAACAGGTTTATTACTTGGTAATTTTGGTCTTCCTGGTTGTCCTGTCCAGATAATATGCCTGGATCTGTCAGAGGAAATGTCCTTGCAGAAGCTGGAGTCGTTCAATGGGTAATGTCCAAGACCTAAGCCTTCTGCATATTTGACGTTAGTATTTAAGACGCAGTTTATGGTTCAGCTGTTGGATTTTCATTTTTTTCTGCTGTGCATCCAAAAACAGATCGAAGACGAATGCTCTCAACGTGTCACAGAAGATGATTGAGATGTTTGTTAGGACAAAGCACCGGATCGACAAGCGCCACGAGTTCGCCCTTGTTGTTGTCAATGATGATGCCTTGTGGGTGAGTTGGAGCTCTGGCGGTCCTGGGGGCTGCAATGTCGCGGCACACCTCCAGGTTAGGGATCCACGCTATTATGCGGGTTTCCTTCAGGTCCTCCCACATTCAAAGACATGCAGATAAATTGGGAAGTGTGTCGGTTACCATGCCAACGTGCAGAAGTTACTGGTCCCCGTGAGTAAGGCTCATAACCCCCAGGAACGCTGGCTGACACAGCAGGCTCATAGCCTCCAGGAACGCTGGCTGACACAGCAGGCTCATAACCCCCAGGACTGCTGGCTGACACAGCAGGTTCATAGCCTCCAGGAACGCTGGCTGACACAGCAGGTTCATAGCCCACAGGAACGCTGGCTGACACAGCAGGCTCATAACCCCCAGGACTGCTGGCTGACATAGCAGGCTCATAACCCCCAGGAACGCTGGCTGACACAGCAGGCTCATAACCCCCAGGACTGGTGGCTGACACAGCAGGCTCATAGCCCCCAGGAACGCTGGCTGACACAGCAGGCTCATAGACCCCAGGAACGTTGGCTGACACAGCAGGCTCATAGNTGGCTGACACAGCAGGCTCATAGCCCCCAGGAACGCTGGCTGACACAGCAGGCTCATAGACCCCAGGAACGTTGGCTGACACAGCAGGCTCATAGCCCCCAGGAACGTTGGCTGACACAGCAGGCTCATAGCCCCCAGGAACGCTGGCTGACACAGCAGGCTCATAGACCCCAGGAACGTTGGCTGACACAGCAGGCTCATAGCCCCCAGGAACGCTGGCTGACACAGCAGGCTCATAGCCCCCAGGAACGCTGGCTGACACAGCAGGCTCATAG